AAAAAAAAAAACCAGCTGGTCCCTCTTCAGGCTATCATTGTATTCAGGGCATTTTAAAATCTTTGTGTGTCTTAACGGATATACACACTTGTTTTAGTAAAAGAACTCTGTAGCAAGGACTTAAAAGTCCTGTGTCAACAGTGTGATGCTTGCTACAAAGCACAGTGTTAGTGTAGAGCTGAGCTGAACATTCCTGAGGCTTTTATGGCTTAACAGGCTCAAGCAATAAGCAGTGTTACGCTGCCAAAATCAGGAAAAAGAAGAAACACGTTAACTAGGTCTGCTAATCCTAGATAGATTAGAATAATGATTAAACCTGATTGAGAGGGCAAGGGGGAAACTTACAGCAAATCGGGCCAGAACGTAAGCCCCGGCTCCAATTCCCATTCCAATAACACTCTTCAGCCTGGTGTGCACAAAGAAAGGTGGATACTGTTAGAACAACAGGATAGACGAGATCTTAAATGAGTGTGAGCGGTCAGCATGAAAACTGCAGCTCAACTTACCCAAAATGCTTCAGCACCAGTGGGAGAGTCTCAGAGAGTTGGTCCATAGATGGGTACTCATATCTGGAAAACAAAAAACCTTTAGTTAACATATTAATAGCAACCACTACATAACCATTGTGCTATATTGCTCCTTGTTTTTGATACAAGTCTGTATTACAATCCCTGTTTTCACATCAGGCTCAGGTAGCGTTAACATGGGGCTAAGTCCCAGCATCAAAACAAAGATTAGGCTGAGTGAGATAAACACCTGTCCACACACTCCTGTTAAATTAGGTTGTCTTATGTACATCCGTAATGATCTACCTGTTGAGTCAAAGGTCACAGACTGCTTGACATACATTAAGAGTGAGGCTGTGTTTCTGTGGCTCACCCAGTGGAAAAAGTGTTAGCTCCCTCATGCTGTCCAGGGGCATCAACGTGACACACGGCAAAGTGCTGCATGATCTCTGCCATGTCCTCATGGTTGAAGAGCGTGTCCCAGCAGGTTTTGTCTGGAGAAAAAAAAAAGAATTTGTTACTGACCTTTGGGAGAATTTAGATGCTATATTGCAATAGACTTAATATAAAGTTCATTTGGTGAACCTCATCTCATCCCATGTGGTATGGCAATTCAGAACACACCAGGCTTTAGGTGCAACAGTGGATATTTAACCTAGATAGAGCAGAGTAAGTAGCCAGACTTACGGTTCAGTCCAATGTCATGGTAGGTGAGGATGACTGGTCTGTCCCCCTTGGGAATCCCTTTCATTGTGCAGTGGATTCTCCCATGAGGAGTCTCCACATCATGCTCCTACAGATTCAAAAAATAAACAAATGCACAAATAAAAACAATTTAAATTCAGTGTGAAAACAAATAAGAAAATCAGCATCACGTTCCAAACCACAGGAACAATACTGCACCTTAATGCATCACAATTAATAACCATCTGCTAAACACAAACTGCTTAAAAGTACCAAATTCCAGCACTTTCATTCATGCTCTTTGCTATAATTCCTTCACACATAGATGTTTTTCCATTCCACCAAAAGGTTTTTTTAATTGACTAATCTTTCAAGCTACTTTCCAACCAAATTAGAGAGCGGATAAGACATTTCAAAAACATCTAGGCTCAACTGAACCACTCACTCCAACAAAATATAAGGAATGGTACCTATGCTACAAGTCCAAACGGATAACAACCTGTCCAGCAAACAACATAATACACTACAACCACTGGAATCCTCTCAGTGCAAACACTTCAGTACACTCACAGTGACAATCATTTCCACATCAGAGTCCTCCAGAACCATGTTTGCCGGAGAGCAGTTAAAAAAAGGTGCTGTTGCAGTGGCTCTCTGAGCTATAGATCCAAGTGCTGTTAAGCCTCTGAAGTTGTTTAGCCAGTTTCCGAGAGCTGCATTTTATACCCCCTGCTGGCCTAATCTCCTGGCATCCCATGGTGCCTTGCAGGTTGGTCAAAACAAGCTAACCCTAGATGAAGAGATCCCTAAATTGGATCAGCCAGTGTAAGGCAGAAGGCCACCAGCTACATCATCTGTTAAGTATAGGTGTATGATCAGTGGGGAAAGATGCTGAATGAATGAGCGAAGGGGACCCCAGCAGCCATTATTCAGCAATATTTAGAGAAAACATTTTCAAAATAATGGCTGAGCTGCATCCAATTTAAATAATAAAATACAAACTCTAACAGCACCGAAGTAGAAAGAGCTAAACCAAGATGACAGTCAAACATTTACTGAAAATACCACTTAAACATTCAGTGACTGAGTCTGTATCTGGTATTGTCTGTGAATTTTTTTTACGATTAACCTCTTTTACTGTGGATAGTTTGAAAGTTTAACAGGGATGGAAAAAAGCCATGTCCATCACACACTGGAGGCAAATGAGGAGACCTTTTACCTCTAAGTTGTCCCCTAAATATATATTCTATAGGCTCAGGTTTAAAATCTAAACTTTTACAGACATTGTACTTAGCATTTGTTCAGTTTTTTATCAGTACAAACAAAGAAACATGCAAACCAAACCTTGTCTCCTAAATATATGAGGATGATTGGGGTGAAAGTTGGGCACAAAAAACATTTTTCAAGTTTGGTAATGATTTATTTTGATTGGCTCCTTGAAGTGCTTTTTAAAAGTTGTACCCAGAGGACAGGACATTAACAAGAGAGGGGGGACAAACCAATGCATACAGAACATCAGTAAAGACTGAAGGGATAACAGGTGAATCATAGTGTATATAGTAATTTATTGTTATTTAATAGGCTTATATAACACAGACAGAATAGGTACTGTCTAGAAAACTGTACATTGGGTGGTTTTAAAACCAGTTCTGACTGCATGGGATCTGCTCTGGAGGAACATCCAAGGAGGTAAATAACTTATTTACTAGTCACGCAAACATCTAAGGCTTCACCGTGCCTCACTCCACCCATCCTCCACCTCTGCAGGACACACCTGAGCACGTAGTCTACCTGACAAGATAATCCTGCAAGGCAATGTGTATGCTCGCATGTCTGTATGTATGCATCTGTGAAACCCAAACTGGGAAAGACTATGGATTTGTGTCATTTCAGAAGCAAACCTCCACTCTTGTCAGCTTATCCTACATCACCAATTGATGGAAGCTTAGCCGCCACAAAGATAACAAACACTTGCAAAGTAACTGTTTGACGAGACTGAGAAAGCTTGGTAAAGATCTCTTTCCACTGATCAGGAGACCCATCACTTCACATACTTCACAGGCTATAGCCAGTATGTTTCAAGTGAAGAGCAGTACTTTTAAGGAGAAGAACATGTACTTCTTACTGATACTGTACGCTAAAACAGGCAAATGGCAGCAAATACTTTGTGACTATGAGGGTTTGAGTGCTGCCCAAGGTGAGAGGCCCCACCAAACTCAGCAGCATCCATATACAGTACAAAGCATGTGGCTGTGTATGTGCTGGAGAAGAAAATGAAATTGTCGATGCACTGCAGTGTGTTATCTTACAGTTCCAATTCAAAGTGTGTTACATCACTTCTGGTAGCTGACTGAATTAATGGAGCCCCAATTAGATTTCAGCCCTAATATAATCACTGCAGATGAAAGGTCATCTCCTTAATAATGAAGCTCTGCAACCACTTCTGGTTTATAGCTGAGTATTTCTTTCTGTCAACCACTAGATGGTACTAGGCAGGCTTAAATTATAAGATGTAGAATAAGATGGCAACAGGTAGCCGGTATCATCTGTCAACACAAGCTTTCAACAATAAAGTACACTTAACAGCTGGTGGGAATAATAAATGCAAGTTCAAATGTCTTGTGTGTGTAACCATACCTTGGTAACAAGCTGCAGCACAGCCTCTCTCAAGCCCTGAAAGGAAAGAACACTGTAATGAAAATATGAAACTAATGCAATTACAATGGAACATGCTATAATCTAATATCCTGAGGGCACATCTATATGACTACTGTCACATGAAGCTGTGCGTAAAACTGCAACTGGAAGCCTCTGTGGTGTAGCTGTGGGCAAGTGATCAGCGACTGCACAGTGTTTTTTGTAGAAGTCAGTGTTATGAGTGATGGAGAGAACTTTAAAGAAACTCACTGAAGCTACTCTTAATATGGTGAGGAAAACATTTTGGAAGTTATTTAAATTGATGGGCAGTCCCATCCAGGACGTGAGTGATAAAAATTGGTGCATGTGAGCATTTTATGAGCTATGACATGGAGATTATGTTTTTCATTTCAGTGATATACATAAGACATTATTAATATATTGATGCAGATGCAGCTCCAAGTGCAGGTCTAGTAATTTTGTATCCTAAATTACTGTAATGCAAATCCATGTGTAGATACAAAGTTTCTATTACTTTGTGCTTTAGAGTTTCAAAGATCTATGACCCACCAACCTACTCAAGAGGTTGATGTTTTATTATATTTTCAGAAGAAAACCAATCTATCACTATAGTATATCTTGAACAGCATCTGTGGTCTTTAAACACCTGTGCACAACTTCCTATCTGCAGCATTCTGCTTAAACAACAGATGTACAAATGGACTACACAAATAAACTGTCAGGTATTATTTATGCAGAGCTGCAGAACACATTTGAGAAGTGTTCCCAGGCATTATTTGACTCAGCTCTTTTCAGAATACATACCTGCAGTTCCTTGTCAACCAGCAAAGGTTTGGACTCAACAATCTGGATCTCATCCATTTCCAAGAGCTGCAGAGGCTACAGGGGTTGGAGAAGATAATGAGAGCCTGGTTCAAATTGTGCTTTGAGCATTTCAAATAGATGATGTTCTAGGCTGATTAGATAACAAGTTGGGGGGGAACAAGGTTTAGTAAAATATTTCCCAAATTCCAGAAACCAATTAAGTGTGTTCTTTGTACTGCTTCGCAAACATCTTTCTAATAAGGTCGGACGGCTAAGAGGCTGACCTGCACATAGTAAAATACATAACAGATTGCTTGGACTTTGGAGTGGGTGTGTTTCTTACCTACACCAAGCTAATAAAAGAGACTAGTACAGACCTGAACAACCTCAAGTATAAACATGTGTACAGACTGGCACGATGGTCTGCAATAACATGCAGACCACATAATGGATCACACCTGTGAACAACACATGTGAAAGATACACAGGCAACCTGACTGGCAAGATACACAGACAGGAAGATGTCTCACTGCCAAAAGAGGAACTACAATTTCTGAGTCATTCTCACCCTTCTGGAATGTGCCTAAAAATACTCTGCCACAGCCAAAGTCTGCTGCACTTTGACAAGATATTATCCAAGGAACTATAAACTGAATGAATCCCCCCCTCTAGGGTAATAGTATTAAGACTGGGAACGTATTTCAAAAACGTCCTGTTCAATGGGAAAATATTCAAGAGAAAGGGGATTAGCAGAGAGGGACAGCTAAAGAATAAGAGAGAAAGGAAAGGGGGGGAGCGTGAAGAGAAGCCAGGCTGTGTGGATCACAACAGTGTGTTGGAGGAGAGCAGGCTGTTGTTCTGCATGCAAATCAAATTAAGCCATTTAAGAGAGCTCTTTGTCCACTGACCTCCTGTAGGGCCTGCCCTCCTCTCTCAGCCTACAGAAGGGGGCCTTCACTGACCACACACATACATATACACCCTGGTTCCAATCAATACATCCCTTGCTAGCTGCTCACATTCTGTCACTTTCCTGTTTGTCCTGGTTTCTGCTTGGTCGCATTTACTATGTTTGCCCTTTCCAGGCTCCTCCTGTTGGTTTAGTGCTCTCTGTCTTTCTGTTTGTCTTTGTACCTGGCATGACAGACAATGAGCCAAACATAAGCCTACAGGGCTGCAGAGCAAGGTGGTCTTTTAGAGGAAGTGATCCATTTCATTTGGAATTTGGAGATGGTTGTTCAGCAGAACACACACGCACACATGCTCCTCTGACTTGGAGAACGGAGACTGGAGCCAGCCTGATCTCCCAATAGAGGAGTATCAAACAACAGGTTCATTTTTCAGCAAAGGCCTTCGAAAACATGGCCGCCACCACACTGCAGGAGCTTTGTTGAAGAGGACAAGAGATCAGCCCCCATTGAGATTCCACAGCCATGCGAGAGTTTGTTTGTGGTCATTTGATGATCAAAGATGGAACCACTTAAGCTGTTTCAGTTTAGAAAATGCAAAAAAAAATCAGCTCAAGTATCAACATGGGGGAATCCTCGAAGCCTAACTGCAGCTGCAAACACAACACAGTTGCGTAAAACCAAGGCTGCATATCAACACAGTCCACATTTCCTCTATGCTTGGCCACTATCACCACCTGTTAAGACACTGCCAACAGAGAGAGACTGACTGAGCAGCAAGCTGAGGCAAATAGATCCCCTTCTGTTTACAGCAGCGATGCACCTCTGACTGTCCTCACTGAGCTAATACTGCACCTGGCCAAGGGGAGCACAGGAAGGGAGTCATTCTAGCTGAACAGAAATTAGATACGAGAGCGCAACAATTTCTTTTCTAATGATTTTTCATGTTTTATGTCAAATGATACTCACAGAAAAACAGACATTTTATACTGAAATCCAAACAGCATGATAAGAGTAACTTTTTGTTTTCTTTTCTGAATTTTGCAGATGCATCTTGTTTTTTAGATTTTCAGTGAGCTGCCAAATAGCTGAAACAGTCTACTGTATTAAAAGGGAAGTAATGTTTCTGCTGTGCACCTTTTTTCTCACATGGATTACACATCACTTCTGCAGCACGGGGCTGTTTTTAAACTGACTTCCTTCCAAACTGGCTTGGTGTCACTGGCAACATTTGCTCATTGTCTTTAACCAAGTCATACAGATCCAAATACATATGCTGTGTTTTTTTAGAAAAATGTCATTTT